TCATCCTGGTAGCATTTGGAGATGTGTTTGACACTATTTACAAATCACTTTTTCCCTTAGAAAAACTTGTAGTGTGGAAATAACTCCATATGTACTAGATGTGGATCTCAATGCTTTGCTGAGTGGAGGGAAAGAGAAAAATGTGTGGTTTCCTGGCTAGGAAACTCTAGGCTATGATGGGTAGTGGGGAATGTAACAATGCATCAGATGAATAGGTATTAAATTATGATTTACATAAGGGTTGTGAAGGTAAAATACTGCAGTTAAGATACTCAATTTTCAGAATTCAGATAATTATAAACTTGTGCATTTAAAATCAGTATACTTTCAGCTCCTATTTGTTGCCTTGTACTTTCTCCCATCCTTTTGAGGCCTAGTCAATAGAACAGAAGCAGATCCACCAACTATACTAACAAGACAAAGTCCACAAGCAAAGAAGAAACTGGAATTTTCTTCCTTCTCTTTTGACAATGCAGCCCCCAGTGGCAGAAATGCATGTTATTCTTCCATCTGAGAGTTGTAGTCTTCGTTTACGCTCTGGGGCTCTCATGTCCTCACTATACAAAAATTGTAATGATCTGATACTGTACATAGTTTTACATAAACATAGTTTTCAGAAAATGTTTTAAGGAAGTAAATATTGTCTGAAAAATTATATTCATTGTTTGAAGAAAATATTTCATTTTACCATTTTTCTGGAAAAAAACTTTTCTGAATTTTTAGTTTTTGTCTGGACCCTCACATCTTGGGTCTACAGTACTTTTCTTGCCCCTGGGCCATGTTCAGTTTCCATTTAATTCATGAATGTTTCAAGTTCTATACAGCTCTTTGCTGGTCCCAGCCAATCCATCCTCCCTGTTTGGATTTGGGCTTGAAAATACAAGGAAAGGCATGGGTGCACTGAGGCTAAGTTTTAAACCAGGACAGTTTAGAACACTTCACAATTCTGTCCTGAAAGCAAGCAAGAGGTTAAGCAGTTCAGCTTCTATACAAATTGAATTACTTGTAGTTCTTGTGACTATTCTCACATGCAAGTTAGCATTTTTTTTAAATCCTGTGGGCCTGAGTCCCAGATCATTTAGGTTTCCAGAACCCCACTGCCTATTATTATCTCCAATCTCAGGTACTGGCCAGAGGGACTCAGTTGAAATAGGAAAAAGTGGCCACTCATTATATAGCCAGTATCCCACAAGGAAGCTAGGGGTACTGCACAAAGCCAGGGACATGACCAATTCCAGGAAAGGCAACTGCGCCACACAGTGCTGGCTGGATCCCTTTCACCACTGAGTAATCGCCTCTCCTCACAATCAACGGTTTGAGAATTTCTCCAATCTTAAATTTGTTTCTTCCTGAATGTTGAAAACTTTAAGCTTTCATGAACATTTATAAACATTTTTGTGCACTCTTGTTTGTGCACTTTTGTTTCCATTGCACACAATTTTTTGCGCTTCTGCTTAATATTTGAGAACACAATTGAAGGATTTTGAGAAGTGCTAATTTAGGACAATTTAGTTTCTGTTTGCACAATAATTTGAAAATGTGTAAGTAGCTAAGCTCACATTAAACTCTGAACAGATGTCTTCCTTATTCCTACTTTTAACTGGTTCTCAATAATAGTACTTCTGTCCTTTCTGTGAGTTTATTCTGGCATTATATTTCAGTATTCATTGGAAAGATGAAAGTAAAGTGAAGAACAGATCAAAAATATGTATCTCCATTATGTTGTTTATTCCAGTGTACAGTAAGTCTCTGGATTGCCAATGTCTGAGCTTCTGTACTTACGAACAAACTGCCATAAAGCCTATTAATTAAAAAATAAGTTAAAGACAAACAGTTCATAGTAAAGAATGCAGGAACTACAGTCAAACCTCAACTCCCACAGGTTTAATTTTCATGGATTTTGATTATTCACAAGTTTGCCATCAATAATTACTGTAAATGGGAATTTCTTTTGGAGTTTTGTGGCCTACTATGGAAAATCATCATCACCATAGAGAGAGAGGAAGTGAAAGGGGAGAGAGGGTGAGCCTCCAAAGCATGCCCTCTTGCCCCATCCATCTGGAGAAGGAAGTCTCCCTGGGATTTCTTTGGTACAAAGAGGAGGCATTGGTGAGTGAAAGGGAGGGCAGAGAATGAGACATAAGAATGTAATAAACAAACAAGGGGGCAGACCAAGGTCTGAGAGAGAGGGGAAGAAGCAATCCAGTGCACATATAGTCAGTATTGAGTTAAAGGGGGGGGGGGGTGGGGGGGGTTGGTGGGAGGGGGCTGAGATATTCTCATTTTGTTTACTTTTACTTGTGCCCCAAACCCCTGCAAATGTGCAGAGCCAACTGTACTTTGTGATGCCCATGAAAACATTCCAAAGTATTAGTTGCTTGTTGGCTTGAGCATCCCCAAGCCAGTGTGTTTCAGGTCACATGCAGTTAACATTGCCTTCCACAACTTGCATTACAGTACTATATAGTGTTTAAGATGTTTTAGTGTATATGGAAGTGTTTCTTAAGTGTTTTATATACACAGCAATGTAAAACATGTACATATACTAAGACAACCATTTGGCTTATCTCATGCTAAGTATGACCCATATGTATGTGATGCGACTTACCTTTGAATTCGACTTAAAGACATTTTCAGAAATGGAATTTGTTCATAAGCCAGGGACTGCCTGTACTCAGTAATATTTGAATGTGGATCTGGGAAACTAAGGGACACATCCAGTGAGCATGTGCCCCAGAACCATGATTGACTATGTGTGTCCCAGGTGCCTGTCCAAAGTTTGTTTATAGACATAGCCCTCCAGTTCAGATATTGTAGTTATTTACTAGGAAACACAAAGTATACAGTGGTACCTCGGCTCACGAACGCCTCAGTTCATGACCAAATTGGGTCACGAACATAAATTTCATTAAAAAATTTACTCAGGTTGTGAACTCTGCATTGGGTGGTGATGGGGAGATGGCCATGATCATGCTGGGGGCGAGGGGAAGATGGTCAAGATCGCATCCGTCTTTCCTGCACCAGCGTGCTCATCTTTCCTGCATGAGCGCAACCGCGATCTCGGCCATCTCCCCGCCCCCCGCAGCATGATTGCACCCGTGTCTCCCCCCCAGCATGCCCGTGTTCGTGCCCGTCCCTCCCCCCCCCAGCATGCTGGGATGACGGGCACGTGCAGGGACGATGGGTGCGATTGCAGTTGTGCTGGGGGGACGGGGAGATGACCATGCTCATGTTCAGGGTGGGGCGGGGAGATGCCCACGATCTTTATTGTTCTTTGTCACTCTGCTTCACATTTTTCTGATTTAAAAAAAGTTACAGAACAGATTGACCTTATTTACATTGAACCTTATGGGGAAATTTAACTTGGTTCACGACCAATTTGGGACATGACCAGAGTCCTGGAACGGATTAAGTTCGTGAGCCAAGACACCACTGCACTAGCATCAACTCGTGCATATGAATTGACTCTGAGCTATGAATCCCTTTGTGTAATTTTTTCACACTGGACTAATCTTTTTATATATGATAAATACCTTTTTATTGTTAAAGTTGTAAGCTGTAACATCAGAAATGATTTTGTTTAAGACAAAATTTCTGGAATCTTTGAGGGACAAGTTTTATACTCATCGAGCTATGAATCTATATGTGACAGAAAATCAGACATCCACATCCCCAGTGTATACACACTTCCCATCGCATCTACATGAGTGTTGATGAGTTCTGTCCTTAAAGACAAACTAAAATATTAAATAAATTTAAAATAATCATAAAGTAGACTGTACAACATAAAAGGTATTGCCATTATAAATGTGTTAGTCTCGACAAATGCCACAAGATTTGTCTTACATGTAACACTATTTGCATTACCCCTCCCTGAAGAAAGCAACAGTGCAAGCTGGAAGTATGCAAATGAGATCATGCACATATAGTACCAAGGTTAAACTATCTTTAAAATGTCTTACATTGCATGGTAGGTGAATTGGCCCTGGAAGAAAGCAACTTTGCAATTTAGTACTCCCTAATGTTCAGGTAGGGATGCGGGTGGCGCAGTGGTTTAAACTGCTGTGCTGCTGGGCTGGTTGATTGAAAGGTCGCCGGTTCAAATTTGCACAACGGGGTGAGTTCCCGTTGCTCCGTCCCAGCTCCTGCCAACCTTGCAGTTCGAAAGCATATAAATGCAAGTAGATAAAAAAGGAACCACTTCGGTGGGCAGGTAACAGCGTTCCGTGCACTTCGGTGTTTAGTCTTGCCAGCCACATGACCACAGAGACAGTCTGCGGACAAAGGCTGGCTCCCTCGGCTAGGAAACGGAGATAAGCACCGCCTCCTAGAGTCAGGCATGACTGGACTTCACGTCAAGGGGAAACCTTTACCTTTACCTTAATGTTCAGGTATGGTTATAGTACTAGCGTCACAATTCACTGTCCCGCTTTAGATGCCATGTTTGCAAATACTTGTACAATAAAAACAATGCAGTCTTAAAAACATCACTACACCTTTATGCTATCTTCACTATACCTTTCAGTTTGGCTCTATTCAAAAGACATTTAGCTCAAAGTGCCACTGGTAATCCAGGCTCCCATTATGCCTTCAAGTTGCTCTTTAGGTGATGCTACTGCACAATATATAGCAGGAGTGGGCAACTTGTGACCACCCACATGTTTTGGTCAACAGCTCCCATCAGCTGTAACCAGCAGAGTCAATTGTGAAAGAAGATAGGAGTAGTAGGCCAAAACCTCTGGAAGGCCACAGTTTGCCCTGTGATAATGGATCTTGCCTCATCTGCTAGCATACTAGCACCTCAAGCAGGTGCTCCCCTTATGCAGGGGATTACAGGTAGCCCAGTACAAGTTAACATTTTGAGCCAGTGCTGGAGCCAGATACCTAATGTTATGCTCTTCTTGGCTGTACAGCACAACTTGGGTTTCTATAACATGTTATACCTCATCAAATGTTTTCCTGTTTAAAGTGCTATTGCAATGTGCTTTGTTCTTTCCTAGTGGAATTGGCCATGATAATGGATCGTCTTTATGGTGGAGTTTGTTATGCAGGTATCGACACAGATCCTGAATTAAAATACCCCAAAGGTGCTGGTCGAGTTGCTTTTTCCAATCAGCAGAGCTACATTGCTGCCATTAGTGCTCGGTTTGTTCAACTTCAGCATGGTGATATTGATAAACGAGTAAGTTAAACAGAATTAATGTCAAACTTACATTTCATATGTTTGCCACAAATTACAACATTATAATATAGTAAGTTGTATCCTTATTAATTATGTCTATAGCAACTAGTCATTCATATGGGAGCAATGAAATGTGCAACAGTCCAGAAAGCAGATTAGGAAGAGGGTCCAAACATGGGGGTGGAGTGGGAGGCATTTTTCCTGGGTCTAGGTTGCACCAGCCTGGGCTGCAAGCTGATTATCCTGTGGAAATAAGTGAGGATAAATTTCCTAGTATCTATGTTTTTGTTCAATCTTGTGAGACTGTCTGAGTCCGGTCAAAGGCAGTTTTAGAATTGAACAAACAACATTCTGAACTGCTGAGGCATGATGACCTCTAGAACAGTGACTGCCTATGCAGTGAATATGTTAGGCTTCTGAGTCTCCAGAGGATGATGCTAGATTAGAGAGACAGAGAGCAGTAGCTAAAAGGCATTTACCACATGTGTGTCATAAATATACATGGCCTTCTACCATGTTTATCTCTAACTGCTCCCAGAAATGAAAGAAGCTTAAAAGAATCGGAAGTAGTTAAAGGACACTAGTCAAAACAAACAAGCTTTTCTATGGAAGCAAGTGGGTCTACATTACAAATTTATAACAAACCCAAAGAAAATATGCTTGGGTCCTGATTCAGGTGCAAAATCGAAAAGTACTACTCCCCATCCATCCTGGATGCTATAGATAATGCTATCACAATAATGTATAGGGAAAAAAGCATAGTGGCTATAAATCAGGTCCATTGCTATGGAATTTTCTGAGAGTTAGATCTATACAGTGGCTTGCATTAAGACCAATTTGTCTATATATGGACAGATTCATAAACCTCTATTGCTGAAGAAAAGCCTGTGATGCTATCAACACAATGTCAACATAACAAAAAAGAGCAAACCCTATATTGTTATCTGTTAGATTGGTTTTGCTGTGTGATCTCTCATTCGAAGGTTATTTCCATAAGCTGCAAAATATTTTTTCATTTGTGACTATTTTCTCCCTTTCTTTCAGCTAAAAATCTGAAAAAATAGTTAGCAAACACTGATTTTAGAAATATTATGAAACTGACTGGTTCGTTGCAATTGACTGTCAATTGCAATCCAAATGAAGGATCAAGTTCATCTGAAGTCAAAGAAACTTGTATTGTAGACTGTGGAAAGATAGATACTAAGATAATAAGATTTGTTCTTTTTGTGACTGCAGCCATTCTGCTTTTCAATAACAATGTATTATGGATAAAGTGAAACTTAATTTGCTACTAAATCAGCTTTTCAGACTGCAAAAAGTATAGATGTAAAAGAGTGAGTGTTCAGAACAGAAGCTTCACACAAGAACTGGATACTACTAGTGATCAGATAAAATCCTGTTAGGAGGATTTGAAGAAATTATTTTGATACTCACTTTGGGCAATCATAAAACACTCATTCTCTGAAGTCAAAATGCTGCCACTAAAAGAAAACTAATCTTTCCAAAACCTTAAATAAAAGGCAGGGTTGAGGTCTGTACTATAAAATAAAAAAACACTTTGTTGAACCCACAGCACTCTGTTTGAGCATCCATTTCACAAAAGGCAACTTGTATGATGCGCAAGGAGAAGTAACCTGGCTAAGATTCTGAGTCCATGGGAGTTATGGGGTCTGAGCTCTAATCACAAATCTTGCATTTGCCCCCACAAAGCACAACATAGCCCTTTTCACAGAAGGCAGACAAGTTTTGTTCAGAGAAACACACCAGAGCCCATCATGTAAGCATGGAATACACACCCACATGCTGTCCTTTCCCTACCACCGCCAGCTTACCATTTTGTTTTGTTTTCTTGGGTGGCTGATTATGCATCAAAACAAAGGGCTGGGCTGCTGCAACTTGCTAATTTTTATTTTCCAAAAGTGCCTCAAGAGCTCAGAAACATTCTAGTGCCATCTGGAATTAAAGATGGTGCTAGAGGTGAGCACTTTGCTATGCAACTTGCCAACATCTCTGGTTTTACTTGGTGGTGATGGTGCATTGGCATCATCTGGCTGATAATATGTTGCTGCTTTGACATTTTTGTTATTTGTTTAGCATCTAAAAACAATTGTACAGAAGTGTAAGACGGTAAGTAGAAGAGATAGCTTGTTTTGAAGTCTTGAGCTCAGAAGTAATATCATACTTTGTTTTTTTAATATTCATTTTCCACCAATAATTAACTTTTTACTATAATCAGCCAGTCATTGTGGAAAAATTGATAGATTATTAAAGTTGAACCAAGAAGATGCAGTTCAACTGCTTTCAGCATGAAACTCACTATGTGATCTTGGGCCACTTACTACCTAATGGTAGTTAACTGATATGGAACATGCTTATAAGATAAGCCTGTGTCTTGAGGTCCTTGCACACATTTAACCATATTTTTATAGTATTCTAGGGTATAAATATTCAAGGCTAAACAAATCTTTTTCCTCTCTTTGTGTCTGTGTCTTTTTGTTCCCTTTGTACAGGTGGAGGTAAAGCCATATGTATTGGATGATCAGATGTGCGATGAATGCCAGGGTGCCCGATGTGGTGGGAAGTTTGCTCCCTTTTTTTGTGCCAATGTCACTTGCCTGCAGTATTACTGTGAGTTTTGCTGGGCGAATATCCACTCTCGAGCAGGACGCGAATTCCATAAGCCATTGGTTAAGGAGGGGGCTGACCGCCCACGCCAGATCCACTTCCGCTGGAACTGAGTCTGGTTCTCCAGTATCTCCTTAAGGAATGAAGGGTGCATGTGGCTTACTGTTTTTGAAGATACTGACATGCAGAAGAAATAAGTGCATTCTTCTGCTTCTCACCCCAACTCTCAATACATGCATCTTTTTCAGCAGCCAAAACACTACAAAGCCTCTTGTTTTTCACCAAAACCCTACATCTCAGGCTTACTAATTTTGTGATATTTTCATGTTAAAATAAAAAATGTTTTTTTGTATTTTCTCCAACTTATTTTTATATGTAAAATTAAAAGTAGATATGAGAATGTTTTTTGCATAGGGGCACACTATCTGCTGCTATATTTAGTGGGTGAAGCGTGCACTTATTTCTAAACATGAGTTTTTAACTTCAAGATCTGCCCCAGTGATTACCAAAGGTAGCAAAAATAGTGAAGATGGAATATGTCTGCTACAAAAAAGCTTATTTTTATTGTTGTTGCTATTTTCAGTGTATACATCGATTTAAAAAAATTAGGGTTGATTTTTTGCTCTCCATTTTGACTTGCAAGAAATAATACCTCAAGATAATCTGATTTATTAGCTATTTTTAAACATTTATAATCACAAGCTGTATTAGCTTTGCTGCTATATAGGTGTTATGTGTAATGCCACCTATTAATACGGGATTGAAACATTTTAAGATACACTGCATTACAGATTAAAATGCAGGCAGCACAATATGGCATAACTGCCATAGTTTTAGAATGTGAAAAATTGCATGTTTACTTACCTGTATACACCTTATGCATGCACTAGATCTAACGAAAGGTGAGTTATTGCAAATGTTTTTTTTTAAGGTTCTGAAGTCTAAGTAGCATGAGCAAACCGCAAAATTTGTAACAAAAGAGACTTGCATGCATTATTGTGACTCAAGTTTTTTTCTAAAAATGTCCTACATGTGTACAATATGCAAATTAGTTTTAGATTAGAAAGTGCAGCCATTTTGTGACCTGGTTGGTAGTGGAATTCAATTTTTGCAGACTGGATGTAATATTGTAATCCCTGTGCAACCTTGTGATGTGTGGTTCTAATTAGTGTGGAGTGGTGTAGCATAGACACAAGTTTGAGTAAAGACTAGATTTTATTATTATTTATTTCAGCCCCTTTAATTATTCATGGTTATAACTTCCTCTACATACCAAAGATGGCCAGCCCACTGCTAACCAGTCACCAAATGGAAAACTACTGAGAAATGAGCATTAAAATGTGCTCATGCAAGAAAATTTAATGCTTTAGTAATATAACCTAAATAAAGTCAAAATGGAGATGGTGTAATATACAGACAGCTAGTTGCAAAAGCTAAATCTTACCTTTAAGACAACAGTGAAATCTGGCTTAAACTCTGTGTACTTGTTTGACTTTGGGCGTATTTGAATCTTCTGTCAAACTGGGGTCACTGTTGCATGAACTATAGTTAGATGACTGACAGTTAAGCATAGTGCTTTAATTTTTATGAAGGAGTTTTAAGTAATGACCTTGCTTGCAAAATTAAAAAAAACACACAAAACAAAAACTTTTGTTGATACTAAATGCAAGATACTCATTAGCAGTGTTTTTGTCCATCTCAGAACATTTTAATGCAACTAGCCCTTATGTTTCAATGGAAGAGAGAGCTATTCTGCTGCAATTGAAGCAGGCACCCAACAAAAGCAAATGCAGAATTAAAAGTCTTACTCCAAGAGAGAAATTTATAAGGGTTATGCTCTTGGCAACCCCTTGGGGACAATCCTTCATGTAAGCAAAGTGTTGCTCTTATATTGGTTGTCTGCAATGTGCTTTTTGTACTGTTCAATATGAGGTTCATGTCTGATTCTGCTGTTTTGTTGTGGATGTGGTTCAAGTTTTTAAAGTTTTAAAGTTGATGCTGTTTTAAGAAGAGCTTTCTAACTGATTTATTTCTCAATGTACCCTATTTGTTACTTAACCATGATCCTCCAGATTTTGGGGAGTATTCTTTTCTAACCTTAAACTCTGCCAAACCTTGATCCATTTTTGACATTTGTTATGCACTATTTTTATATCTCTCTGAGAGATTTTTTTTCCAACTAGTCAGCTATTTTAAGGCACACTTTTTTTGACAGATGACATCTCCTTTGCTATACCTCAATTTTTGGAATTTAGAAAGAAAAAAATCAGTAGTTTTGCAATGTTAATTATTTGGATATAATTTAATTCTGCAGATGTTTTTAACTTTATTTTCATATTTCTTGCTTGAAGTTTAAAATTGAAGCGCCTTTACATATTTTAAATAATGAAAGTGAATATGGAAAAGTAGTACACAACTGAAATAATTGGAGATGTTGAAAAATCTTTTCTTCCCCTCTAAATAAAGCTGTAATAAAACAAGAAGATGCCCTTTTTGGTATGGATAAACTAATTTAAATATCAGGCTATGCCTGTCACTTCATTTCTGGAGCTATTGAAGCAAATAGCTCCTGTAAACTACAAATTCTTTTTCTTCCTTTTAAAATCCATTCATGGGCACAATGCAGTTAGAAGGTCTCCAGCATCAGGACCTGTAGAAATGAATGAATGCTGCGCAGGAACACAGCCATTCTCATAGATCCTGTTTATTTCCATGGGCCTGGCACATGCTGTTTTCTTGCACAGCCCCTGTTTATTTCAGCAGAGGATGATGCAAGAGATCTCTCTAGTGGATTGTGCTCTTTATTCTCTTAACTGTTTGACACTGTATTTTTTTGTTTTTATAAAATCATATTTATTTTACTATTTTTGTAGGAGATTGTTAATTTTATTGTATTTTTGTATTTTTAAAGCTTCTTTACTTTTGTTACCCCAAATGTGCATATTGCTGTCCAATTGTATGACTGTGGAGGAAAAAAAATACTTTAAAGGTCCACGCTTTTTGTTAAGAAGGAAACATTTAGCATTTATATATTTGTGTATGGAAAACACTTGATATTTTATTCCCTGTTGCATCTGGCTGCACAGAGCCTCTCCTCAAAGATGCTACAAAACTTGAATATAACACATTTTGGAAGGCTGACTAACCTCGATTCTGTGTTGTGACGTGCAATACTGTTTCTAATGTTTGTATAAAAAGAATAACAGTGTAAACCTTTTTAATGCAAATTTTATTTTTTTCATTGCATCTTTTGCAAATTTTATCCACAGTGTCATTTTTTACTGTCAGAAAAAGAAAACCCCTTTTGTCATTGCAAATATTTTTTAAAATCCAGAAATCTTTGTACTGATGTAAATGATCGTAGTTATTTTGGATAGTGTTTTGCTAACAAAAGGAGAGACTTTTTTCATGCATATTTCTATTTTGTTGTCATTTTGGGTTTTGTTTGTTTGGTTTATTTCAAATAGTAAAAATACTTGGAATAATTTTTCATATTCTTGTCATTAATATTATTTTGTATTTTTATGTGGAAATATATAATTTTATGACGCTAATTGCTAAAAGTTTATTTTATGTTGAATTATTTTTGGAGCTGAAATCTTTGTAATATTAAAGCAACTAGTTTCTAAATTCCGAGTTTCTGTAAAGAATCGCACAAGTGGTTTATGGAATGTTTGGATTGTAATTATAAATGGTTCTTTGATATGCAAATTGATATTTTCAGTTTATTTTATTTTATATTCCTAATAGGGTGTTAAAACAGTTTTTATTTTTTTCTAAATAAAAAGTAAACTCATGCTTTTTATGGACACAAAGGAAGCAGTACACCAAACACTGCTGCTGAGTTCTGAACATTGATTTCAGTGGAGCCCATAAAAATCCCACTGAAATAAGAGGGTGTTTCCCAGAAGCAGTATTTGATGGATTGCTCCCTTACTTAATCGCCTTCAGCTTAAAATCTTCTGTTAATATATTTTAGTTCATTTTACTGTTATCTTCCAGGTGTCTAAATCTCCAGTCTGTCTGTTGTACTGGTAATTTAACTCTGTAATGGAATAGTTTGCTGCCAACTATTTATATAATAAGTAATTTTTAAATATTTGTAATATTGTTGACTGACTAATAAACTATTAAGTTATTGGCATATTTTTCTCAGAATTGTATTATCTTGTAACTGAATCATAGGCAAAATCAACTAGCTGAATGCAAGTCTTTCATAATCCTTAGAAATTTTATTTCCTTCCAGTCCCACCTAACCCCTTATTTGTACACTATGCTAATTTCTCTTGAAGCTATTCAGAACTTTATTTGCAGTCTTTAAATGGTTCTGGATAAAATTACTTTCTTGTACACACATTCTGTCACATACCCTGTAGTCTACTGCATGTAATTTGTATAGAGTTGTTTTACCCCCTGAAGTCTGAAAACATCTCCAATCACTTTTCTAGAGTGTTGGACATATATATCAGAATGTCATCGCTCTGGCCCTGTTCAAACAATACTTTTAATTGGTACTTCTAGAGGCTTTTAGTGAACAATCATCCTGCCTTACTCACAGAATTGTATAAGAAATCCAGAAGATGTTATCTTCCATTTGTACCCTCCTGTGCTTTCCCAACAAGTCTTCTGTCTTTTTGCAGCAGAAAATCCGTTAAAGAAAGATGGAAGTACTACACAATGGCTTTGCATTAGGAGCCTTCCATCTGGAAGCACCCTAGGCCAATATTGCTCTGGTGCATTTCCCCAGTGAACAGCACAGAGAAGTAACTGTACTGCATGATGCCCTCTTAATATTTCAACTCCAGAATGAGAGAGAGAATAGCTAGGAAGGCCCTGCTTCCAATTAATGTGCACAATACAATTTACTCATTGATTTTGCTGCATAATAACTTGTGTGAGCAGGAAAAAGGCTTTAATTCTTACCAGATTGTGATTCTCCCTGGAAAATACCACTTCAACAGGACTTTTCTGTGCTCATTATCATGCTATTATCATGTTCCCATAGTTTGCATTATGAGGCTGTGTTCATATGCTGAGGGACAGAAATATTCCCAAATGTCTTTAAAATAAACTACCCACGGTGATACACATTCCTCTGTCTGGCACATCTTTTTATTTTGACCTCCATTTGAATCAGCTTTTCAAACCATTTTGTGTTTGAAGGGACAGAAATGCATGATTTCAATTTTTTGGTATTTATTTTGCTGCATATTTGGGGGATGTATTTTTTCTTAAAAGGAAAAATGATTAACAGAATAGTAAGCATCTGCTCAAACTTTGAGCAGATTAAGTGACTAGATTTTCACAGGACTTACCTGGCTAGGATGCAGCACTCAAATATGGTTTAGTGTTTATGTGTATGAGTTTCAGGGTCATATTGTACGGCACAGCTGTGAACAAATTAGAATCTTTTGCTTCCATTTTCAATTGTGGTTTTTTATTATGTATTATTTAGCTTCTACACCACCCATTAACTGAGATGGTTTGTCATTATATTCAAACCTTAAGCTTAAAAAATGGTTTAGAGAACTAAGCCAGGATCATAAATGACTGTTTGAAATGTGCTTGCTTTCCACAGTTTGTCTGTGTTTGGCATAATGAATAATCACAGCTGATTTAAAACTGATGCCAGCTATTCCAGAGGAGAGTGAAATAGGAGGTCATGAGCCCAAGGCTCATTCACATAATGTTAAACCATAGTTCAGTATTATGTCCAAACAAGACTGTTTAGTTAGATTTGTTGCTATGAGGTTTTTATTGTCTCATTCATTAGTAGAAACCTATATTTGCCAATTTTTATATTCTTGGGTAATTTTGTCAGAGGTGTGCCAAAGTGTATACATAGCTGTGAGGGAAAGATTTTGTTCATCCCACAAGTCTGTGTCTGCCTGTTGAAAATAAATACTCCCCAAATATACCAGAGGCAGACTGGCTATATTATTAAAATAGTGCATATATCATGATTTAGCTTGCAATACATTCTTCCTTTTCTCCTCACCTATTATAGGCACTGCAGTTTCATTATTTCTGTCTGGCATATGAAAGATGTTCTTCCTAACCTCTTCGTAATACTTAGAGGGGGTTTTTTGGCTTTGTTTTGGGTTTTTTTGGCCAGGATTGGCTGAGTTATTTGGTGACTAGGATTCTATATTTTAATTTAACCTTTGCCAAAGTTATTGGACTTCTTCATATACAGGTGGGCTAGCAATCAGCTTTGTATGGCACCTCAAAATTATTTGCAGCTAATGTCACTTATAAACAGGTATTCCATGTGAACAACAAAACTTAATGTTATCTCTGTAGAAAGTTTGTTTTAAAGTATAATGATTCCACAAATTGGGTTCTCTCATACAGCTTCAGGCCCACAAATTACACCTACCTGTGAAGTAGCAGGGTAGCAACAGCACCATTTCACTCTTCGGTGCCCAGTTCTGCCTCACTTAAGAGCAATTATTTGGAATGCGTAGAATTGGTGAAGAACTAGGTGGTGGCCAGTCAGTTCCATCCTGCAAAAACAGATTCTGTGGGCAGGTAGTTCCTTTGTCCATACAGATGACCTTAACTTGCTCTGAGTGGGATTTCTTCACCTTGAAGGATCTAGTTCATAATATGGGGGTTCTTCTGAATCCAGCTTTGTCACTGGAACCCTCTGTGGCTGTGTCCTTCAGTAGTGATGTGTATAGCCTGGCCACAGTTACCTAAGCATAGTTAACACCTAGAACTGACTATTATACTATGCTGTACATGGGACTGCATTAAAAAAGTGCTCATTTTGAACATTTGTTCAAAATACAGCTGCCAGCTTGTTAACTGGGATCAGTTGGTGGGAACCTTAAAAGAAGTCACGGTTTTCAGAGGCACGTGTAAGGCTGACAGAGCAAGTTAAGGGATTCATTTAAAAAAGCAAGGGCCATGTTGGCCTTTTTCATTAATGCGTTTTGTGGGTTCCTCAGGAGTTCCAACTCCAGGATTTGAGAAACTATCCTGAGCTGCCAAAGTCAGGTCCTTCTAAACAAGAATTTGCTTGTGGTGATTCTGATCCTCTTGGTTCTTTGCATAAAGTACAAATAGCAGCACTGTTGGGACAATGGGCTCATGTTCTCTGTTGAAGATCACCAACATCACTGCCCTCTTGAGCCACTGTTGCTTTGCTACACATTTAAAATCACTCTGTCATAAGAAGGACTGAATTATACATTCATGATAGCAACCAGTACCTCCTGGTTTATTGTGCTATATGAATTATTTTGCCATTCTCACCTTAAAACATCTTCCTTTAATGGTACACTTCTGGTGCCCTTTACAGCATTTATAATTCAGAATCTGTTTTTTGTACCACTTTGTGCTCCTGATGATAATTTCCACAACATGCTAGCTAGACATGGGAGCTGCATGCATCTCTTTTTCATGAATGAGTGAATGCACAAACTGGCAAGTATCCACCTATCTTTTATGTTCATGAAGCCACTGCATCCCTAGAAATATTATGCCAGCAAATCCAGTGCCTGCTAAAAGGTTTGCATTTAGGAAGCTTATGAAGAATCATTGTTAGGCTTTCAGATATAAATTGTTTTAAAATACTATTCTGGGCTTTTTTTAAAGCTTACCTTCATTCCTCGGTGAAAAGATCAGTAATGGCAAACAAGTTTCCCTGAAAGAAAACTTGCAGATTTGCTGCGATTTGTCTCCCTCTACACTGTTCATCTGCTGCGGAATGCTTCACAGTGTACTCACATCTGAGATGAGGTTGAACCCATATGAGGCCTTTCATGAATGGAAGGGTTCTTTGTTCGAATTTCAGGGATCCCTCCTCCCCAACATATACACACACCACTCAGTTCACCTCACAGGTCCTGCTGTGTAGCCTCTTCAGGCAGCTGAAGAGGCTGCAGTGGGAAGGAGAGAGACATCTCTATCTGGATCAAACCCAAGTGGTGGTGATGACCTGGCTTGTAGTCAGTAGGAAGTGAGTGCCTTAGAACATGCCCACAATATTCTGCTGCATCTAAGTGTTCCTCATATGCCACTAGAAACAGTAGGAAAGTTGCACCACTATTAACTCCCACAAAGACTTGAAAAACTGAAATGTGATGATAGAATTGACTTTTTAAACATGTAAATCTATACCTCTTTTGTACCTAAACTGCTGGTTTTTATAATTAAACTGATTCATTTTAATTATCAACATAAGCTGTGTGTTTAGTTGACAAAAGTACTAAAAATGGCAGGAGGTAATAAATTAAGAAAAATTACTATCTTGTTGCTAGTGGTCTATAAGGGGAAGACTAACTTTTAGCCTAGCTGCAGTTATTTTCATGCAAATGCAAGCATGTACTCCATCTATTAACATAGTAGGGAAGATGGCAGGGAACAATTTTGCATGCCATAAATGGGCTACCAGTTCTGATGGCTTGCTATGCTGCTTTTTATAAGAGAAATTATCTTGAATTTAAGATGCTTTTGGCAAATGTTGTAGATGAACTTAATCTTTAAAAACCCTCTGCGGCTAAGTCGTAAGATTCTTAGTTCAATAACAATATAATTATGTATCATTTACCCAGTTTGGCCAAATTTGTACCTTATCAAAAGCTTATACCGAATGTTCTCCCTTATCAATTTTAGAGTTTAAGTAGTGCTGTGGCAAGAAGGAAATTAATCCTGTATGAGAATATCCAGCTTTTTCTGATCCAGTTCATGGTCTTTGTATCTGCTGCTGCTTTCTGGATTTGTCAGATGAGCAATCCCAGCCAACCAGGAATCAAGTGCCAGCAAGGATGGTCTAATGATGCTATACTGTGCGTTTTTAAAGTTTTTATATCTTATTTGCTAAGAGGTCAACCTCTATTAAGAAGGAGGGCAAAATTGCCTGGATGATCCCAGTCATTTCAGGATTACATACAGAGTGGAATCATGTCAGAGTATTATGTAGTCAGCTTTAGCTGTGCAGTGTCAAATGAAAGCCCTCTTCAGAAATTCAAAAGAACATGCTACGGCTCAGAGTGGGAACGGGAACACTTTCCCCCTCCTCATCCCTTATGTCAACAGACACACTGGCCCTGTTCCATCAATTAAGGCCTTGCCATGTTGAACTGTTAAGGTCTGCACAGGAGCTCTGCTCCCCAAGAGGTGTAGTGTGGTCCAGTG